AATGGCCACGTTCTGTTTACGTGCAAACCTTACTAGTTGGCTGTGTCGGGTGGTGGCGGCTTTTAATGACACATTTATATATTTACGCGATCTAACACAAAATCTATATTATGTATGATAATGGTCGCCAAAGCCGACGTGTTAAACTGATTAACATTCGTGTTAAAAATCTATATTTAAGCTCATTAGCAGTGCCTCCATGTGCCGTTCAAAAGCACGGGTTTGAAGCTTTGTTTTCCTAATGCACAGCCAACATGCAGAAACCTGATGTGAAGTAAAAATGTATTGCATTTTTATTCTTAAAGGATTCCTGTGCACTTTAGTGTTATTCCGTACTGAAAATTGTCTGAGACTTGCGCTGATATACACTAGTAATACTCACTCGTGAATAAATGTCACGCGCATGCCTTTCTTTTGTGATGGCTAATTATACGCATGTGAAAATGTAAACCGAGTAATCATACACATGTGAAGGGAATGTTGTGGCGTTACAAAGCATACACCAATAATTGTCTCAATGTAATCAGTGATTTTATCCCCCCCCCAAATTGTTAAATAAAAGGCAGTTAATTCCAGATGGCATTATTGTGGTTTCATAATTATGCAAAAACGCAGATTAAGATGTGTCTTCTTTTACAGATGTACAAATTGCTCCATGTATAAACTCGTCAAGTTTAAGTAAAGATAACATTCTCAAAAGTAGTATAATTATATTGTACAAAGTTAAACATATCAAGAGAGGGGATATTGTCAAATTTGAACGGCAATTTTCATCCATTTTCAATGCACAGCTGCATGAAAGCCTCTACGCCATGTCGCAGTGGTGAACGTTCGTTTTATCTACCTACTTATGTTGGTCACGTGGAATTTGGTGAAAGGGGTGGGGGCAAAGAAAGATCCAGACATCACTGACATTAGCCATGGCATGGGATCGAACTCGGGAATCAAGGTTCATAGCACAGTGCATGAACAACTAAACCACTGCTTCTCCCCCATCATAATATGCTAAAGAATGTGTTGACGTGTCCCAAATGTGTGTTATTTAGAGAATCTCATAAACGACCACAACACTGTATTTTTTAATTTTACGTTTGAATAAGGCGTAGTAGACCCATCAAAGGTCTTCAGAGTGTGGTACAGGGAAAAAAACATCTCTAGTTTATCCGACATAATAGGAAATAAGTAGGTTTCCATGTCCACGTCCACTCATTCATGTTTGCCATCACGAATGTTTAAATATGTATACTTTCCAAAAGGAGGTATGATTTCCTGCCATTTTGTACAAAAAAAATTAACGACTGAAAGAAAGTAGCAGACGTCGATATAGTGCGCAAATAAATTATTAAAAATATTCTGAACTTTACAGCTCTGCAATATACAATATTAGTTGCTAGTGTGGAGAAGATAAAGCTTCATTGCCAGCAGACTTGTGCTTATCATACATCTATGCAAAGGTGAGCCTGTTATGAACTCAATTTGTTTAATATTAAATAACCTGTATTCAAATTTTGATTTAAAGCTTTCGTGACTGCAGGGATTCATATTCTTGGTTCTTTCGGTAAAGTCACGTAGAAGGGAAATAATATTTTTAAAAATATATATATAAAACAATAAAAATTATCACGATGTTTCGACTGCAACCAGTGGCGGCTCCTGCAAAATCTCTCAGGGGGGGCAAATGTCTGGATGATTGATAAGGATAAGGTCCACCCATGCAATGGATAAATTAACAGCTTAAGAATGTAAAGGCAACTTCACTTCTTTAATATTAATGAAAAATAAAGTGACTCTTACAATGCATCTTGTTTGTTTCTATACTCACTATTAAAACAAACCACTCAAGTTTATTTTATTAAAAATTCCACTAGGTGGCCACAAATTATATTGTTGGATGAAACGTGCTTACGTATGATGACGTAAGCACGTATGATGACGTAAGCACGTTAGGGCGAGCCCTCCCGGAAGCCGTAGAGAATGCATTGGAGCGCCCCCCCCGGTCGAAAAAAAACATCTTTCAATGTAAGTCTATGGGAACACTCGGGGCGATTCTCAGCCGGAGTGAAATCGCCAAAAAAGAGGTGGTACTCCACAGAACGTGACATGACGCTGATTGGACTATATCCAGAGGCTGCAGTGACGGCTTGCGTGACTCTGTGGTTCAATGACATTGGTGGTGCGTCGCCCAATCGCCCTAATGAAGAAACCGCCCCTGACTGCAACACAAGCAATCATCATCGGGTGTGAAATCCACAGCAAGAAATTTTGAAAAAAGTGTCGATTTTCCTAATTAGGGAGAGATGGATTTGGTGCTGACATTAGGAAAAACCGCCACTTTTTTCAAATTTTCTTGCTGTGCGATTTCACACCTGATGACGATTGCTTGTGTTGCAGTCGAAACGTCGTGAGAATTTTAATTATTTTATATTTGCATTATTTTTTATTATTTCCCTTCTACGTGACTTTACCGAAAGAACCAAGAATATGAACCTGTATTCAGTCTGTGGCCATGCATACATTAAATGCATACAGGGTATACACGGATTACATTCATACCTGACAAGATGATCTGCGTGAAGTAACTGGTATAAACACTCAATAAATGCCATCACAATGAGAATAGCTTCAGTCAGAAAGAGTCCAATGTGTTGTTCTAGTTATATGTTTGTAGGATTTCATATTATTTTCCCGTTTGCAGCACATTACCAGGGATCTTTTGAAAAGGTCAATTATTAGAATGACTATATGGATTCAATGTGTTCCTTACACGTTTCACATTTAACAGTCATGTGACAGTGGAACTGGCTGTAATCCATGACAGCGTCTACTGCCGCCTTGGATTGGTTAAGGACCTTAACATTAAACTATGACATCTTTCCAAACTGTTGCTTACACGCCATGCGTGGAGATGGAGTGATTAAATTCGTGGATGTGCCAGGAGACTTGTATGTCGCAGGATCCTGAGAGGTGGTGCCAGCTTTGGAGTGGCCGTGTTGTGTTTAACCAGACGATATACATGGCATGTGTGAGTGCGCGACGAAACAATTGTACATCCATTTTAAGATGCGATAGAATGACAAAATTATTTCATAAATTGATTCTAATGTGACAGCATAATCTGCTATATACAGAGCTATATTACATTGCCCTACATGTGTTTAGAGGAAAAATTTAGTGAATCCAATTTGTTCTAAGGTATTGAATTTAACAAAATTAATATTATTTATAGGCAAAGCTTTTGTTTTAAAACAAATAGTTTATTTTGTATTTATAAAATGTTAATGAGTTCAATGCATTATTTGATTCAACGTTTAGTTTGAAATTTTTTACATTAATATGTACGTGTGTATTATTATAAAATATAAATTCTAATCTTGATTTGAAGCTTTCGTGACTGCAGGAATCCATACTCTTTAGTTCTTTCGGTAAAGTCACGTGGGTAGAAAAAATAATAGATCACGACGTGTTGATCGCAACGCAAGCAATCGTCATCAGGTGAGACAACCACAGCAGAAAAACTACTGAAGTAGGCTTTTTTTTCTTGCTGTGGTTGTCCCAACTGATGATGATTGCTTGTGTTGCGATCGAAACGTCGTGATCTATTATTTTTCTACCTACGTGACTTTACCGAAAGAACCAAAGAGTATATATTCTAATACTGAATATTTGTTACATTAACATGTATGCACTACTGAATAAGCATTGACATCAATCAAGCTAACAGTTTTGACTATTAGGGTACTAATCTTTTCATATGATGGCCACATACTAAAATAAAACCAATAAGACACACAAATATAACAAGTTTTATCCAGCAGTGCTGAAAATGCTAAATCAAGTGAGTTGGGCCCAGGGTTACTTGAACAGGAAAATAATTTGTGAACGCTTGGAATTTGGGCTACTTTAGTCGGAGATAAAAATGGATCACTCTCGTCTCTATTACTCATTGCCTCTGCATGAATACATTAAATGTAAAGTAGTTTAAATTATGAGAATGTATTTCAACTCTCAGAAATTTTAAAAGTGCATATCTGTTACAATGTAAAAGCGTCGTATAAAATGACAAATTATTTAAATCAAAGGTGATTTAAGTTTCACCAGTGTCATTCGTGTTTCATTATCTCTGTACTTACTATTATGGGTCTCAGGTTGTGCATTTTATAACCGTGAATTTTCTGTATTTTCACCTTTTGATAAAATAATAAAATTAAGACGAGCACAACACACCTTCCTTCCCATGTCTGTATCTTGACTTAAACCAAATAAAACATCAACATCTCATTGGTCACAAAACCTTCCGGGAGTGTATTTTAGACATTCATTGTCTTATACACAAGGATCCTCGCTGTGGCGGAAGAAATGTGTAGTTAGTTTGTTTTCACGTAGACAGATATGAGATAGAGGCATATTGTGTTCTCGTTCGTTTTTCTACGTAAATTCTACACTCCGACGCTATTGATTAGTAACAGTCGGGTGGGGTGTGGGAGTGCTAACCGGGAGTCGTTAGTGCATTGCCCTATGTACCTGACGAACAGAGTTCAATTCCCTACCGTGGCTTACATCAGTGGTGAGTGATATCTTAATTGGTTTGAAATGTTCCCAGACCCACCTCCTTCAACAACCCACACTGACCAGCATGACGTAGTGCTGTCAACCCCAATCCCTAACACGTCCTTCAATCTAGGATTGGGTTGACAAAGGCTGGCAATTATGGTTATTTTTTTAAAAATAACAGCACAGCTTCCATCCACACTACATTAAATGCGAAAACGTTGAGGCAAATATATACGTAAATATAAATACACATGTATTTTAGGAGTTAAAAATGCACTTGTAAAAAAGTATAATTTCTGTTGATTTATTATTAAAGGTAAAAATAACTTTTTATTATTTCATATTTGCAGGTGGACGTCTTCACATTATTCCTTCATTTATTTCATATATGCTGCCGTGGTGTAACGGTCAGCACACTGGACTTGCATTCCAGAGGTTACCGGTTCAATTCGTCCTCCTGCCATGGCAGTTTAAACAATGGAGCAATTTTATTAAATCCCTCTCCACCTCTGTCCACCCAGCAGAAGCAGTATAATAAATAAGTGCACCAAATACGCTGACGGGGATACAACACTCTATGCGCACCTCGAGCCTCATACGACATCAGCTGCCAACATCGACTTCAAGCGGTGCACCGATGGAACGTCAACATGTTTTTTTGCAAAATGACGCGCGGTTGAATGCAAGCAAATTAGAGTCCATGTTCATAGGCCCGGCTGCGCAGGTAAAGAAGACGATCACAGTGGATCTCTGCCGCCAGCGCCACTACTGCCCCTCTCCAGATATGTGAAGGTAATTGGGGTAACGCTTGACAAACGTCTCAATTTCAACCGCCATCTTCTTGGTTCTTTCGGTAAAGTCACGTCGAAGGGAAGTAATAAAATAATAAAAATAAAACATAATAAAATAATTCTCACGACGTTTCGGCCACAACGCAAGCAGCCGTCCTCAGGTGAAGATCAGGTCTGTCGAGGCGACAGCGTCTGAATGAAACAGCACACGTGCTTGGAGCGTATATATAAACTGGGCGCCTTGACAAAGGAATCCCTGCAGTCACGAAAGCTTTAAATCGAAATCCAACCACCATGTCACAAACATCTGCCATGATTGCAACCACCACCTCCAGCATACAGTATTGTGAATAACATGACTAGATCACTGTAATCGCTGCTGATGTGTACATCATCTGTTAACCTCGGCGGGATAGAGTACATTCAAAACAGCCTCACCAGCATCGTCTGCCAGCATCACGCCGTGACAATTCTACCGCACTTCCCGTTGGGCTTTATTGGCTGCCGATTCAGACGGGTATCAAGTACAAGGTGACATCCATCACTCACGAGGCTCTCTGACAGGACAGTCGCCCATCTTTCTGTTCGAACAGTTCACAATCCGACGAGACGTCTACGATCAGCCAGCAAATCCTTGCTCACGATTCCGCCGGACAGAAGCGTAAATGGTGGACAGAGCATTTCGGGTCTACTCTACATCGCTCTGGAACGGCTCTGTGGGATATCTTTCGATCAAATACCATCTCACAAAACCTTTTAAAAAACATTTGAAAACGTCATTGTTTTGCGTAGCCTTTAGGACTTAAACCGAAAGTCACCAGCGCCTCGACACTCAAGCATTACCACGGGCCTCTGCCTCATGACATTGTTTCTAAACGATGGCACTGGACTAAAACATTATTATTACTATAGTTTTTTGTTCTTTCGGTAAAGTCATAAAATAAAATAAATCACGACTTTTGGATTGCACTCCCATTCTCACATGCCTTTTGGATTGCACTCTCATGCTCACATGTACTTTGGATTGCACTGTCATGCTCACATGCCCTTTGGATTGCACTCTCATGGTGCTAATCTCTCATTAACACTGCTGTTGTGCGCATATACGGGCATGATACTCTTATGTGGCGACGGAAGCTCATTCATGCTAATCTCCCTCCCTAATCCCTCTCTCCCTAATCTCCCCCATTAACACACCTGACGTGCTTACGACCGTGGATGGAATTCCTTTCCAGCTCAGACCCCGCTTGCTTGCCCATCGCCACACATATATATGTAACCTTGTTGTAACTGCTCTCTCGCTGGTTCAGCAGTTCCACTGCTGGGTTATATTTTTTCCGCCTGAGGACGACCGCGTGTGTTGTGATCGAAACGTCGTGATTTATTTTATTTTCTACCTACGTGACTTTACTGAAAAAAAACAAAGAGTATGGATTCCTGCAGTCACGAAAGCTTTAAATCAAGATTATTATTACTCTAACCTCTTCCAAGATGTCTGGCTAGCATGGAAGAGTAGGCCAAAAACCCAGTAGATGGGGTCTTCAGAGCTCCCTCTCGTGGAGGCCCTTCTGCCAACAGTGACATGAGCAAGACATTGCAGGGCTACGCATTTACCTTTTTACATTATTGCAAATCAATATTTCACTCATGAATTCTAAATAATTTATTGTAGTACTTTTTGCGTAAATCTGATCAATATGTGACATTTTCGTAAGTGCATGTTCTTATATTTACATTATGGGACCTCCATTTCCAGTACCAAAATAGGAGAATGAGTATTCCCCTTTTTTCTAACAACAAAACAGGCGTTGAGATGTTAAAACACCAAACTGAAGCCTTTTACAAGAAATCATGTCTGCATTAACTACGTACAATTGTGGTCAGAATGCAAACAAAAACAAACTCTGATATTATATATGCATTGCATTTTGAAACTGATTGTTCCACAGCAGAGACAGCTTTCTTTCAAGCCTCGTCTCAAACGGTATTAGACCAGAGGACGCCAGAAGAAAGGGGAAACCTATTCTTATATGTTCTTATATTTCTATACCTTTCTAAGCAATGTATGTTGTGGCACTGCAGAGGATATTCCAATAACCAAATATTCAATCCACATTCAACATTTTAATTTATTTTTTTATTAACATGACCATGGCCAAAAACAATGTACTGAAGAAATGATTTTGCATTTATATAAATACTTTTTGTGATTTTTGTTCAACAGACATGGTAATATTCTTTCAATTGATCAACTTTGCAGTTTCTGTAGTCAAGTCAAAAATATAGACATCTTATTGACTAATGACCTCAAGCTTAAGATTCACACAAGCACCCTTTTTATATTTGGCAGGGCTATAAATGTACTGAACTTACCATTACCCAACATAAATGCTCATTCAGAGGTAATGTCACCACAAATCATCGATATTTACTGCTCCAGGTACCCAGGTCATTTTGAGTACCCTAACATGACTTCAATTAACACTAGGTCATGGTTGTATGCGGCTGGCGAGATTTTCGGAGTCACATTCCGTTGCCTTATCTGACCCGATGCTAGCAGCAAAACCTGAACATAGCTACTGCATTTCACACACGAATATAAATTTGAGATCAGGTTGGAATATAATACATCGGCGCATATATGTAATATGAACACAGTAATAGAAAGATACAATCGTGTCGTAATATAATTTATACATTCTATATGTATTTTACCATAATCTGAAGGTCATTTAGCAGGAATTGCAAGTGCTTATAATTATTAATAAACTGTATAAATATATTTGAGATTCATAATCATATGTCTCGCTGGGTAGGTGTAATTTTTTGCGGGTGACATTTTAAATTCGTATGCGTGGGTGAGTGAGTCAGTTAGTAAGCGAGCCAGCCACAATTAACACCCAGAACTCAATTCCGCCCTCCCGCCTCCTACCCTATCCTTCAATCCTACCCCGTGCTGTGTGACATGCAAACCAGTGCAGGCCTGCTGATGGAACACGAAGGCTGTCCAGTGGGCTTGTAGATGTAAACACCCACTGTAATCTACTCGCGCGATATTTTTTTTTCTTGTTCGTCCATCAAAGTTGATGATGACCATGGCACGTTTGTCATTTTGTTGGGTTTTGATGAGTGCGCAGATGGCTGAAGAGGCCAATCCGAGCCCGGAATTCCCTGTGGCACACTGGACAGGTCAGGGAGGATGTAGAGCTCTGAGGTGCAGCCACACGTCCTTCCTTGGTAGATTTGCGCTGCTGCCTCTTCAAGATAGCACAGGAGCGTCTCCTACTCTCACAGAGGACTGCACCGTCCTGTACTTTTCTTCTCCAGGCAGGTCGGTCCTGTGCTAGGGATATAGTCTTCCAAGGTCGTGCCTAATAGTTTCCTTACGACAACAAATTATGTAGAACAAAGCACTTAATCTCTCACTGGCGTGCATAATCTTACATTGTCAGATTACTTTCAGACTCTCTTAGGAAAGTAAGTATTGCTTAAAAGCGATTAGGCGAAAAGCTGAATGTAATATTAATACGCGTAATGTATATTTTAGCACTGCCATCTCGGCAGAGCTGCGGCGCAAATTTGCTTGAGCGCATCCACTGCGATAAAAAATAAAGAAGCAGCAGCAATCGAGCATCAGCGCTTTGTAGCCAGACGTAGCTTGATAGAAGGCGCGTGGGGCGGTAGCATAGTCAGCAGTCACCATCTGATGTGCAGCCTTCTCCACCGCGAAACGTTGTCGTGTGACTGGAACCTCATCAGCATTATCGCGCTTGCAGGAGATAAGTGGGGCAACTGCTGCCTGGAATATCGATTTGCTTCACCTCAGATACATGTGTAAGAATGATAGCTCAAGGAGGCAATGCATGGAAGCCTATAACTTCGCTTTTTAAAAATGCACATCTCATCAATTGCCAATCGAGAGTGTTTAAGTGTGAAATAAAAAGTACATTTACATTGTCTTTAAATATGCATATACAGTATATATCAACATAAAATGCACTGCAGGTTGCAACATACAGATGGCAAAAAAACTTCATAAGTTAACAATTAAATCAACATTTTATCTTGGTCTAAATTACATTTTAACATAGGTCCCTTATACCTATAGTTAAATGTCATTTGTGTAATTTAATGTACTACACAAGATGAGGGAAAACATTTGATCATAGATTCTAAAAATATAGCTTTAGCTTGTTTCTAATGAAAGTTAATCAGCAAGATTATTATTTCACAATTATTACATTAAATATAATTGTATACATATTTTAAATTATACGGTATTTCATATTGAAATTGTTTGTGCTTTGAAAATATCGTCAAGATAAACGTACATTACAACAAAAGTAGGATTATGCTTTGTGTTACTCAAGCACTGTAAGCATCAATGTGTCATATGGAGGCACATGTTAGATGCAGATACTGTATTATACTGGTAAGAACATCCTGGTTACACCAGCCCACAGGGGATTATTGTGTCCGTCCGTCGTGCAGGGAAGGGCTGGGTGGGGAGGGAGGGGCTGGGTGGGGAGGGGAGGGTGGGGAGGGGCTGGGTGGGAAGGGAGGGGCTGGGTGGGGAGGGTGGGGGGTGGGAGGGGTGGGGCTGGGTGGGGAGGGGCTGGTCACGACGTGGTGCCCTTATAAAACTCAACGTTTAACCTACTCACGCCGGCTTGTGCCCGCCCTCACAGTCGGGAATATTTGCGGAATACACCACGCCGCCGTTGACCCTGGCCATTGACCGAGCAACCCAACGTTCCTACCAGCTCCCTCCGCAGAAATGTGTTTTATTTGTTCTACTTTGTGGAAAGATATATTTTCAAGTGTATTCAGATTATAAAAGAGGGCACAGAGCAGTAGCTGGGTGGCTCAGAGATCAGAGCGTTGAGCTCCCAAAGCTAAGAACAATTATTTAAATCTGAGAAGTTGCCCTTCATTAAACCGAGATTTTAAATCAGGAGTAGATGGTGTCAGCCCTCTGACTAATGACTGCACAATAATAATACAAATAATAAAATTTGGCTTTGCACTTATCTTGGCTGAAGTCTACCTATGAAAATGAGAAATGCCAGTGTAAGTATAATGCCCGATGAATGTCTCCCTGTGGCAAAGTGGGTGGGAAAATGCTGCCTCCTCGGGTTGATACACACGTCAAATGAGATTTCAAAAGCTGTTCTGTGATATCTCCTAACACAGACCGTTCTCAAACACAGGGGTGGTGCATGGATTCTTAGTCTCATGATATGATGCCAAGAGTACAATCTGGATAAATTTGGGGGAAAAGACAAAAACATTTTAAAATAGGGCACAGAGTGAGCGTGGATTAATAAAAGATAACATTTCTATTTTGAAAAACATTACAATTTTTGTGAAGCATAATTAGTTTCACAATGGCTAACCAAAAAACACAAGGCAACAGACATTGCCTGGTTTTATTTGGCTTAATTCTCCAAAACCCCGCTGATTTACCCTTTGAAACCACTCAAATATTTGAGGCAGATTCCCTAATGTTTGCCAGGCATGTGAGCTTAATTTACCGACTCCATCCATTGGGCTGCTGAAAGAATAGCTGCAATTGTGCTAATTACAGCAATGCGCCCAAGGGGTTCCCAAAATAACGCGGCTCTTCTCATTTCCGCAGTAAATGCCACGTGCTTTACTGCCCGAAGAAGAGTCATTGAGTTTATGACAATCTTTATACAGCTCGCACGTATCAATTAGGACGAGGCGCCAAAACAAGTCGAAGCTTCACACTTGAAATGTAACCCTTGTTAGGTCATTCCAAGACCAAATATAATATTTGTTTAACAACGTCGGTGTTTTTGATATTTTTTTGATATATGTTAAAAATCTTGATTTAAAGCTTTCGTGACTGCAGGGATTCATCTTATTGGTTCTTTCGGTAAAGTCACGTAGAAGGGAAGTAATAAAATAATAAAAATAAAACATAATAAAATTATTCTCACGACGTTTCGGCCACAACGCAAGCAGCCGTCCTCAGGTGAAAACCAGGTACGTCGAGGCGACAGAGTCATTCAGGCCGAAACGTCGTGAGAATAATTTTATTATGTTTTATTTTTATTATTTTATTACTTCCCTTCTACGTGACTTTACCGAAAGAACCAAGAAGATGTTAAAAATCGTAATCTAGATTGCAGTAAATTTGGCGACCTGAGTTTGATTCCAAAAGACGGCTAACATCCGTGGTACCCGAACCGGTCCTGGGCCCTGCCATCCTACAACCTGCACTGACCAGCGTGGTGAGGTATGCAATATTTTTTGTACATAGGCTTTCATGACCTATATTGTGATTCATAATTCGTTTCTTTGAGTTAGATTGGGTAGGTATCATGTAATTGTTTCTTCAAAGTTGTCAACATTTGGGTTGCTTTTCAAATCTTTTGGCATATTTGCCAATGACGTGGCAAATTGACATGAAAGGCTCTGTTGGGTAGCAGGAGTTTAGAGCTACATTTTTTCTTATATTATACCTACACGATCTAACTAAAACGAAACCAGTTATGAATCATGCTAAAATATCCTCTTGGCCAACTCAGCATGGGGTAGGCCTTCAATCAGAATGGGATTGACAAAGGCCTGTATATTATGATGTTGATTTGTTTAATATACACAATGCAATGAAAAATTATTTTATTCCAGAAATAGAAGCAAACCGATATCTTACATTAGCAGACAACACAATCATGATAACAACCAGGGATCATGAACCATAGGAGATGAGATGATCGAGAAACTTAACAAAGAAGGCTAGCAGGGGGAGGGGTGGCGGGGAGAGTGATGATAATTGAGTGAAGCGTCTGTCTAGTACAACAAGTTCACTGAACAAAAATCAATAGTTGTTTCAGGGACACAACTGGAAAACACACACACACACACGAGTGTATATACCGAAGGAAATATAGAAGGCAGATTTCAACAGATATGATTACATCAAGAGGCCAGTGAGAGTAGTATGGAGCACTTTTGTAAAACTGTACTTGATCATGAAAAGGAAATATCATTGCCTAAAAAGTAACGTTTTCAATAAGTGCATGGTACCTGCCATAACATGGCTTTGAAACATGGATTCTGACAGATAATGTGGAATACAAACTGACAAAAATATTAAGAAATATGGAGAGATTCATGCTGGGATTTTAACTTAGAGACATAAAGATCAACAAGTGGATCAAAGAGTCAATGCAAATTAGAGACATTGTTCATAAAAAGGGCTTGGGAGATACCTTGCTAAAAGGGATGATAGCAGACAGACGAGACTGGTGATGAAATGGCAGCCCTGAGATCGTCGCACAGTCGTGAGATGGATTTGTGGCATCGCAGAACGTTGCAGGATGGCAAAGACTTGGAGAGGCCTTCATCCAGCACTGTTCAGAACATGGATGATGCTTATAAGAATAAAAAGTACATCTAAGCTATGACCCATGTTTAAAAAAAATACATGTTTCAAGTAATTGCAATAATACATTTGCCACTTATATATATATGTACCACTCTAATAGGAATATTCATTTTCTTAATCTGTTTATACACACGTTGGACTGTTTGCTTAGTCAATTAGGTTGAGAAAAAAAATGTCAACGCAATCTTTTCTTCTGCAGAGCGGTCGTATCTCTTGGAAGCGCCGCTTTCGTGGCTGATGAATGCATTCAGTCAAAGCGCTGATTTGGGTGACATGAGCAATGCGGCAGGCAACCCCCTTGTGGGCTCATGGTTTGTAGCTCCTGCCACAATATGGAGATCAAATACGGAGAGAATTTTGTTTAGGAGACATCTTGTGGCTCAAGAATACACTCACATTTTTCGACCTTTCAGTTTAACATTTTATATTACAGCAATCCTTATTATCAACGGGTATAAATTTGTTTCGATTCCGTCTTGAAATGCCAGCATTGCAATCCACACAACAGGTCTGCCGACGATTGAACGCGTAATTCGGAGGCGACAGCTAGCTGTCGTTACTTGGACACGGTGCCCGTCTCGATGCATCAACCCCCGGGCACGCTGCGGACTGCGGTCGGTGGTCGATGTTTCGAGTGGCCACGCAGGAACGGACGTCGTCGCCTTGGTCGCCCCCAGCAACGCACGGATCGGACAAAAGAAACCCACGTCGCCGCAATGTTGTGCGAGAGAGGACTTCGCATGGGAGGTCACGCGACTGGCGCAGCGGTCATTTTCGTGATGATTGACTCAATGAGTATTTTTTTTTTAAAACGAGAGATAGACTTCCATTACTTCCTTTGCAAAACAAAAAGACGTTGTGTTCGTTCATCAACCCAGTCTTTTGGAATTGAGTTACCAAGCAAGATAGTCAGCTTTGCTAAACAAATGTTAATTGTTTACCAGATGTTGTTGCCCTCTCTCTACGCCATGGTTAATCAACATTGTACAATAGCGCACATTGCACTGCAATGGAGCACTGAGGATAATACGTGAACACATTAATACATTCATAATTTCTGCATAAAATACCATCTCTTGATTGATCAGCCTATTATCCACTCCAACATTAAAATCAGAAATATAACAGGAACTAGCATATGGCAACTGTATCAGGGGGCTAGGCTGACTTGTCATTGCCTCGTGGCTGCATGCCAATGGACCAGTTTGTATGGGGCCAACAGTTTTAATTCCCATAGGCACCCAACATTTTACGGGGCATTGTCAACTTTCGTCATTCACTGAAAGCAAACGTCAAAGGCTATCTTACATTCTTTTCCATCCCAGACCATTGTTTTCCAATGTAATTACTCCGATTTCTGAAGTTAGAAATTGGTTGTGGCATCACATTAAAATTAAAACGTCTCTCTATTTGGAAACTGGATATCACTATACAAAACACGTACTATCTCTTCTTGGTTCTTTCGGTAAAGTCACGTAGAATGGAAATAATAAAATAATAAAATAAAACATAACCATTTTTTATTCTCTATTCAAAGCAAACGTAATCAATCCACACTTTAAAACATATTCCAAGCAACGAGATGAATTCTTACAAAATTGGAAACTTCACTTTATTTTTATTATTTTATTATTTCCATTCTACGTGATTTTACCGAAAGAACCAAGATGAATCCCTGCAGTCACGAAAGATTTAAATCGAAAATTAAAACACGTACTATCTCGTTGGACATGTACAGCCCTGGATGAGAGCCTCCCCCTCGTGTATGTGATGGGAGTTAAATGACCATACTTTACCATGCTGGTCAATGCAGGTTGGTAAAGGTGAGGGGCAGCGACTTTGGAGAACAAGAGTGGATTTTGCTTAACTGCCCTCTTCTGCCCATAATGTAGCCCCACAGCGTATAACAACTGTTATGCATGGTGATCACCCAATCAAACACTGTTCAAGTTTAACACTGCTTATTAGTATTCTCGGTTCCTTCGGTAAAGTCACGTAGAAGGGAAATAATAAAATAATAAAAATTTCACAATAAAATTCTCACGACGTTTCGATTGCAACACAAGCAATCATCATCAGGTGTGCAAACGAAACGTCGTGAGAATTTTATTGTATTATTTTTATTATTTTATTATTTCCCCTCTACGTGACTTTACCGAAAGAACCAAGAATATGAATCCCTGCAGTCACGAAATATTTAAATCGAAACTGCTTATTAGCTTTTGAGATTAGATGAGATTGGGCATTTTCTGGGTTCATACTCTTAGGGTTTTTCGGTAAAATCACGTAGGAAAAAAATACAAATACTAATAAATAATAATATAAATAAAATAATAATAAATGAAAATAAATCAATTAAATCACGACGTTTCGGAGGCAACACAAGTCTCCGTCTTCAGGTGGGACCGTCACAGCTAAATTTACTGTATCAAGTGAGGAAAAATCCAAGAAACAAGCTCTTAAATACAAGTTAAGGGGGAGGGGGTAGGGGCTTATCTGAATGTGGTAGTCAGGGAATGGCACGGTGGGGGGGGGGGGGGGACTAGAAGGGAACATTTGGTGCACCTCAGCCCGGGGTTACGGCCGATGTTGGCTGCCAAATACAAAATAGCAGTACTGTTAAACGCTGGGGATGTCAACACAAAACTTTCTGGGCTATTTGGTTACATAAGCCACTGCATATATAAAACATATATATATATATATGAGTTTGGTGCAACATTACAGAGTGAAGTTTGCAATATTGTAAGAATTCATCTCGTTGCTCGGAATATGTTTTAAAGTGTGGATTGATTACGTTTGCTTTGAATAGAGAATACAAATAGTTTTTTACGTCTTTATTCACAAATGCCATTATGCAAATATTTGACAATCCCATAAAACACCTAATACAGGTTTTTTTTACTGAATAGAAAGTAGTGAGCTTGGAAACTGTTATTTTAATGGAATGTGATACTTATTAGAGCTGACAGCACCTCTCATTTGACAGAGGGAACCCAAACCACAATCTGTGTTGAAATCGCACGCTAAATAATGTTGGTGTATTTTTTATGAACATTACCGTGTTCTCTAAATAAAATATGCATTCATCACCATCTGAGTGCATATTTTACATATGACACATCATGTTATTTTTTAATAGTATATGTTAAGAGCTCAGACCCTACTTAAGAACTATAATATGCTGAGTATCTTATAAATGCATATATTTATTACGTGTATTTGAGGATTTGTGTATGTGTAGTCCTCACTTCAGAGACACTAACAGTAGGAGGCACACACATTTATTCTACACTTCCACAGTACAGGGAACACTACACACGGGTCAGGACAGCCAGAACTCTGCCTGACCCACAACGCCTAGGAGGTGAAGACGTGGACGAAGACTTGCGTAGACGATGGGTTCCATTCCAAATGAAAGTCCCGACCCAGCCTCGGGACCTCCCTTATATACTCCCCAGCGTGGCCTGGCTCCGCCCTCGGCCACGCCTCCTTCTGGAACCTTCTGGGCTTTGCACCACGTGTCCCCTCTGTCACCTTTACCCTACATCCCTTACCCTGGCCTATCACGTGCCCTGCTGGCAGACCGACTGCTGTGTCCTCAGATCCCCCCTCTATGCCAGCAACCGGTGCTACGCTCTCTAGCGGCACATTTCACCTGCCCTGCTGGTAGTTGCTGGCACATTGCATTTTAGGTAGACTTGTTCTTGTGAGGTTAACGTATAATCCACTTAGCAATGCATTCCTGGGCCCAATTCTTATTTAGAAATGATAAAATGTGCCTGCCCTACATTTTTTAAATCTGTAATTTGTTTGCATTCTTGTTATGTACTGTTATTGAGTATTATGGGTAATAAAATAAATAACTGTACTTCAATTCGCCTCGCCACGTTTGTTTTTATCATAGACCATCAGCTAATAGGCATTCTTAAATAGTGCTAAAACCGGCAACTTTTGTTTTATGCAAGCAAAGACTCTCAACCCGTCTTGATGTTCTGGTCCTCATCAGCTGAGTCGGGCTGGCACGTGTCCCAATTTGTTTGCATGGAGTGTTCCTATTCCCTTTTATTTATATTCACGTGTGTTCACAGAGTCAGGCTTACTTAAGCACATGCTGCAGGGTTTGTCAGATGTTATAGGCAACTTCACAGTTGGGCCCTGCCAGTGCAGGGACAATATTGTATAAAATCCATTACAAGCTGTTGTGGACCATTAATAACCATTTGCAGCCCTTTATAAATCTCCACTGGATGAAGGCCGAGAATCTAAATCAGGTCACCAGGTTCGTAGTGCAGTGCTCTAACCATTACGTCACCACAGCAGTGTATGTAGATATCTCTCACACAAAGGGCCTATGAGAGTATTATGTCTTTGGGTGGCGTTTAGTCACACATCCCTACATACAATTGAGTTAGAGTAAGGAGGATTTGGTAAAATGTCCATCATTTAATGTGACAAGAGACAATTGGTGATATAAATGTAAAATAACAGATCGTGAATGATGATGACAAGTCACAGGATTTGCAAAAAAAAAGCTTGCAGACAGGTGCACTGCTATCAATTACAACTTGTATTAAATAATGAACCATTTCAATCGGTTTTTGAAATTACAGTTTTTTAAATTAAATAATGCCCCCAATTTTAATAGGGTTATTAAAGTGAGCTCGTGCCTGGAGGAAATGGCGTTGACCTCTGGGTGCTGTAACTTTAACCTCTGTCCGGAACTTTGCAACACAAGTGCCTTCTTCCATTGCCCCCTGGCTATCACTGTTCCACTCGGTTGAGCGGGTATCTATTATTTACCTCAGAGTAGGGTAAAATTATGTCCATTCAGTGTGTTATCAATGCTCGAGAAGATGACGCCTATGTTTTCATGTACCTCCGAATCTCTTCTCAGAATAGCAGTATGGAAAGTTTTACGCATATTTGTCTAATTGCATCACCATAATATACATTTGTTCAGCATAGCCATTCTTCAGCAGACTATTGATAGGAGACTAATAATTACAGTAGATCATCATTTTAATTTGAAGACAGCTTCAGACACATTGTAAGACGTACATTTCAAAACACATATTGTACAGTATACCTTATAATTGGTAAGCCAAAACATCAAAAAGCTGATGAGATAACCACACCAATACAATACTGTAATAAAAAAAAACACCGTTTGTACGCTCTACATTTTTGAAGAACCAGAAGAAAATTAAAATTAATTTAATCGCATAAAGTGTCTGTAACTCCAGACTGCAGTGGGAGGAGTATGCGTGGTATGAGTCACCCTAGTCGTAATGTTGGAAATCATGTCATCAGAGGTGTGAAACCAAATTATTTCCCCCCTTTCAGAAGGGTTGGGTGGTTGCCCATGGGCAGAGGTCGCAAACGGGTTTTGATTCCTTACCCGTACCCGTACCCGGCCGCACCAGGGTCGAAAACGGGTACCCGTACCCGTACCCGATACCTGGCTACCCGTACCCGGCCGGGTATCGGGTAGGGTACGGGTATCGGGTACCCGGTTGCGACCTCTGCCATGGGGCCTCCTCTGTGGTACGGCAGCTCCACTCTATTCGTAGGCTACTGAGCATTGCCATAGTGGCACTGCGAGCAACACTGCAGATACGGAGTTAACACAGTCTGGTTCACGTGCCTCATCTGCTTTTATTTTACTTCTGCTGACTTTGCGCAAGCGATTTGACAGGCCTCTTGTGGCTTTTGAGACATGTTTGTTTCTCTACATGCTGCCTGCTGAAATGTATTCGTAAGCTAAACACGTTTGTATATGCGTACGTTACTTTGTCCTGCTTAAATGAACACCCGTCACACCTACTCTATTTTGAAAATCACGTATATTTTATTTGACATATACACCGGAAAAGCTTCTCGCATTTTCAAGGTAATGGTGAAAATCATAATTCGTGGGTAATGGTTTTGTCATGAATATTTATTTTTGGGAAAGATATGATTAGTTTTAAATGTTAACTTTTAATTTACAAAAATGTATTTTAGAATGTAAATAATTTCACACGTATGTTCGATACAATACGCTATGTTAAGATTCGAATATGAAAGTAAAATGTACAAATATTTTTACAAGTAAGCAAAACTAATTAACACATAATACTTAAAATACCTTTAGCATCGCGGTACGTTCATGTTTTGAACCAAATAATTTTAAATACCATTGGTGTAAAAAGATGTTTAAAAAAATACATAACAGTGTAAGTCGTTTTTCCACTCACCTGTTTTTTAGTGCTACCCATTCAAATCAAACGTTCACCAATTCATTTGCAGTAGTATCCTGTATTTAGTCTACTTCCGGAGAGGTTTGCATTGAAATATTTGGCCAAATTCCATTAATGAGTCTTTGGCTTCGTGTAGATGGAAACTGGAGTACCCAGGGAAAGCTTATGTATACAAGGAGGTAACAGTCAAACTTCCACACGTAATTCATTGCTGTAATGCCATCTCCTGACCACCTTGCAACCAGAGCCTACAATTGGTATTCCCAGACATTCTGACATGCAAACATTAACGAGGGTCCATCCTGCTTGCTTTTTCAGATCTGACGAGATCAGGTGCATTCAAGGATTCATCGT